TGTAGTCTTGATTTATGCTCTATTTCTTTTCCTCTGCTTACTTCGGGGATAACTTGCTCTTTTTTCCCTAGTTTTTTAAAACTGTAAGCTGAGGTCACTAAATGAAACTTTCCTTCTTTTCTAATATAGGTGTTTAGTGCTACAAATTTCCCCTAAGTAGTGCTTTGGCATCATACCACAAATTCTGAAATGTTCTGCTTTCATTTCCATTTAGTTGAAAATACTTTCTAATGTCCCTAAGTACCTTTTAGTGTTACTTAGTTTTCAAATATTTGGAGATTTTCCAAATCTCCAGATAGCTTTCTGCTACTGATTTTTAATTTAATGCCAGTGTTATCAGAGAACATACTTTGTATTACTTAAATCCTTTTAAGTTTATCAGGTCCTATTTTATAGCCTGACTTGGTAAATGTTCTGCCTGCGTGTGAAAAGAATGTATATTCTGCTGCTGTTGGAGAGTGTTAGCTAGGTCAAGTTGGTTGATAGTGTCGTTCAAGTCAACTATAAACTTGCTGATTTTCTGTCTACCTGTTCTTTAATCATAGGAGTATTAAAAGTCTGACTACAGATTTATTTATTTCTCCTTACAGTTCTATCATTTTTTTCTTCATGTAAGGACTGTCTGACCCCTTATCATGATGAAATTACTTTTTACTCCTGGTAATATTCTTTGTCCTGAAATATACTTTGATATTAATATAGCCATTTCAGCTTTATCATGGCTAATGTCAGCATGGTATATCATTTTCCATTCTTTTACATTTTTTTCTATTGAGGTCAAAATAGTTTATAACATTGTGAAATTTCAGTTGTGCATTATTATTAGTCCGTCACTGTATAAATGTGCCCCTGTACCCCTTATGCCCACCTTGCACCCCCTTCCCCCTGGTAACCACTAATCAGTTCTCTCTGTCCAAATGTTAGTTTATCTTTCACATATGAGTGAAGTCATACAGTGTTTGTCTTTCTCTGCCTGGCTTATTTTGCTTAACATAATACCCTCAAGGTCTATCTATGTTGTTGCGAATGGGATGATTTTGTCTTTTTTATGGCTGAGTAATTCCATTGTATATATATACAGCACAGCTTCTTTATCCAGTCATCAGTTGATGGGCACCTGGATTGCTTCCATGTCTTGGCTATTGTGAATAATGCTGCAATGAACATACGGGTGCATAAGTCTCTTTGAAGTGCTGATTTCAGGTTCTTTAGATAAATACTCAGTAGCGGTATTTGAAAAGATCTTTCTAAGACTAATGTCAAAGAGTGTACGGACCAGATTTTCTTCTAGTAGTTTTATGGTTCCACGTCTTACCTTCAAGTCTTTAATCCATTTTGAGTTAATTTTTGTATATGGTGAAAGATAATGGTCTACTTTCATTTTTTTGCATGTGGCTGTCCAGTTTTCCCAATACCATTTATTGAAGAGACTTTCCTTTTCCCATTGTATTTTCTTAGCTCCTCTGTTGAAGATAAGCTGTCTGCAGATGTGTGGTTTTATTTCTGGGCTTTCAATGCTGTTCCATTGATTGTGTGTCTGTCTTTGTACAAGTACTATGCTGTTTTCATTACTACAGCTTTGTAGTATATTTTGAAGTCAAGTATTGTGAAGCCTCCAGCTTTGTTCTTTTTTCTCAGGATTGCTTTAGCTATTTGGGGTCTTTTGTTGCCCCATACGAATTTTAGGATTCTGTGTTCTATTTCCATGAAGAACGTCATTGGGGTTCTGACTGGGATGGCACTGAATCTGTAGACTGCTTTAGGTAGTGTGGACATTTTAACTATGTTTATTCTTCCAATCCATGTACATGGAATATCCTTCCATTTCTTTTTTTTTTTTTCCTTCCTGGCAAGGAAGATGCACCCTGAGCTAACATCTGTGCCAATCCTCCTCCAGTTTTTGCATGTGGGATGCCTCCACAGCACAGCTGACGAGTGGAGCAGGTCCATTCCTGGGATCCGAACCTGCAAATGTGGACCACTGAAGCAGAGTGAGCAGAACTTTAACCACTCGGCCATGGGCCAGCCCCTCTTTCCATTTCTTTATGCCATCATCAATTTCTTTCAATGGTGTCTTATAGTTTTCATTGCATAGGTCTTTCACCTCCTTGGTTAGATTTATTCCTAGATATTTTATTCTGTTGCTGCAATTGGAAATGAGATTGTATTCTTGAGTTCTTTATGTTAGGTTGTTATTAGAGTATAGAAATTCCACTGATTTTTGTAAGTTGATTTTGTACCCTGCAACTCATTCTTTTACTTTTAACCTATTTCTTTATATTTAAAGTGCAATTTCTTGCAGGCAGTATATAATTGGGTCTTGCTGTTTTAGCCAATGTGACAATCTCATCCTTTTAATTAAAGCATTTAGCCCATTTATAATTAATTTGATTACTGATATGGTTGGATTTAAATCTACTATCTTGCTATTTGTTTTCTATTATTTTAGTAGTTGCTTTGGGGTTTATAGTAAGCATATTTAACTTATGGGTCTATCTTCAAGTAACATTATACTACTACATGTGTAAGAATCTTGTAATAGCATACTTAAGATTTCCCCCCTCCTGGTCTTTATGGTATTGCTGTCATACATTTTACGTATACATCTGTTACCACCTCTACAATGCAATATTATTATTATTGTTGTTTACACAGTTATCTTTTATAGAGACTTAAATAAGAAAAAACATTTTATGTATTTAGCCTTATAATTACAATTTCCAGTGACTTTCATCCCTTTGTGTAGATTTGTAGTTCCACGTGGTATCATTTTCTTTCTGCTTGGTACACCTTCCTTTAACATTTCTTGTACTGAGTCTTCTGGTGATAATTCCTTCAGCTTTTCTATGTCTGAAAAGATCTTTATTTTTCAAAGATCTTTTTGCTGGGTATAGAATTCTAGGTTGATGGTTTTTCCATTTGGCACTTTAAACATGTTACTCAACTTTCTTCTCGTTTGCATTGTTTCTGCCAAGAAAATATAATGTCATTCTTATCTTAGTTCCCCTGTATGTAAAGTGTCTTTTTTCCTGTGGCTGCTTTTAAGATGTTCTCTATCACTAATTTTGAGCATTTATGATATGCCTTAGTGTAGTTTTCTTCATTTCTTTTTTTTTGGAAAGTTTTTAGCCATTATATCTTCAAATATTTTTGCTGTCCTGTGTCTTCTCTCTTTTGGGCACTCCAATTACATAGTCTATGAAGTTACTCCACGGAACTTGAAACTACCCTATGGCTCACTGATGCTCTTTTCATTTTTTAAAAACTTTTCTCTTTATGTTTCATCTTGAATAGTTTCTATTGCTATGTCTTCAAGTTTATTCATCTTTTCTTCTGCCATGAATCCCACCCAGTGTACTTTTCATTCTGCACATAGTACTTCATTATGAATCTTTTTTATATCTTCCATGTCTCTACTTAACTTTCGAAAACATGCAATACAATTAAAATAATTGTTTTAATGTTTTTGTCTGCTATTCTAAGATCTGTATAGGTTCTGAGTCTGTTTCAATTGACTGATTATTCTGCTCATCATTGCTTCCAGTTTCCTGCTTCTTTACATGCCTGGTAATCTCTGACTGGATGCCAGACATTGTGAATTTTATCTGTTGGGTGCTGGATATTTTTGCATTCCCTTCCTGTGCTTTGTTCCTAAATGCAGTTAAGTTACTTGGAAAGAGTTTGATCATTTTGAGTCTTACTTTTCTGATTTGTTAGGCAGGTCCAAAGCAGTGCTCATTCTAAGGCTAATTATCTCCCACTAGTGAGCAAGATCTCTCTGAGTATTTCACCTGATGCCACATGAATTAGGAGATTTTCCAGTCTAGCTGATGGGATCAGGCACTATTCCCAACCCTGTGTGAGTGCCAGGCTCTATTCCTTTTAATCCTTTTAGATGCTTTTTTCCCTTGGCTTTGGATAGTTTCCTCACATGCATATGCTTAACAATAGTACTTTGCTGCATACTTGAAGGGGTCTCTCTGTAGATCTCTGCGGTTTTCTTTCTGTGCAGCGCTCTCCTCTCTGGCACTCTGTCCTGAAAAGTCTAGCCATATTGGTTTCCCTGGACTCTCAGCTCCCTCTCCTCAAATTAAAGAGTCTGCTGGTTCCACCTGGGTTTCCCTTCCCTGGGCCAGGGTCTCAAAACTCTCTTAAGGCAGTAAGTTGGGAAATCATAAGAGGCTTAACTCATTTGTTTTCCATCTCTCAGATCACTGAGCTTGGTTGCCTGATCTTCAGTAACTTGTTTAATATATTTCGTCTTTTTAAAATTATTTTGGGTGGGGTGTAAATTTAATACTTATTATTCGAAATGAGCAGAAGTCCTGAATTTGTACTTTTATTTAGAGTATAGAAAAAATTCAAACTCAAAGTGAAATGTTGACAGTTTTAGGAAATAGCCATTGAATACCAAAGGAAGGGAGACATAAATAACTTCTTGACCTTTAGCTCTGTTGAGCAGCAGTACCCTTCTTTGCTTACCAGCCTTATCATGTACTGATATAGTCAACATCATCTGTGTATTGTGTGGGGCATTTAATCCTAAGTGGGAAACTCTGAATGACTTGTAATGAACTCCTAACACACTCCTCCTCAATGGGACTCAGTGCCAGTAGTCTTATGAAAAGATAAGATTTTGGCAGGGGTGTTGGGTACAAAGAAACAAATACTGCTCCACTTCCAAAAACTGTCTAAGGGCTATAACTGTTTCCTATCTGTCTGAATTAAGAGCTATAGTAAAAATTAGCTTTTGTTTTCAGTAACACAGAATATCCTCAAGGAGGCAAAGAAGAAGGAAAAGGTGTTACTTGGGATGAAGTTGGGGAGAATGTCTGCTGCCAAAACTCATCGTGGGTCTTGAGTTGTATTCTTCCCAGAGAACTTTAATCTGGGGCCTCCAGGCGAGAAGCCCAAGGGCTCTGACCTCGTGTTTTGCTCGTCTAAAGACCAGAAAAAAACTACGTGCCTCCCACCTGCTGAAGATGCTGAGAATCAATTACCTGCTTGAAGCAATGGACAGGCGCTGGGACTGAACATGTTTCTTTTAGGTATTTGTCCCAGGTAAAATGACCTGTAAAGGAAATAGAAATCTCCATCACAGTCAACTTCCTAAAAAAATACTTTCAGGATGCAACCTACACTAAACATTAGGCTATTTTCAGACTGGTTTGAAGCATAAAAAAACTTATTTTTCCCTGTTTGGGCTCAAAGGAGTATTAGGGGGAGAAATCCAGGTGACTTCAGTGGATCATTTTAGATCACTGTTTTTAAATCATGGTCTAAAAATGACCTCAGGTCTTTTTCATGTTAGTTCCTAAAGCAATCCAAAATGCCAGAGCAAGATATAACAGTGTCTCAAAGAAGTGCCCAGGAAGCTCACGGAAAACAGAACAGAAGAGGTAGAAAGGGGTGAGGAGATTCCTTCTGACAACCTAACTCCTGGAGAGGTCCCTTAATGCCATCAAGTGGCAGCTTTTAACACCCAATATGGTTGGATCCCACCACCTCAGCTCAAAAAAGAACGAAGGAAAGGCTATCTAGAGACATAGAGTAAGAGGATTTGAGGGCTGAAAAAGTCAGAATGAGCGAGATTATACTTGAATTCTCACTCTAAAAACTGGCTCTCTTTCATCCACCCCTACCCCACTCCCATCCCTGCCACTGTTGCATTGCACTGAGGTGCAAAATGATAAAGATCTGGTAATTTAGAGAAAAGTACGTCTTGGATAGCATTTCTGATGACGGGAACTAAGAGTAAGTTGAGGAATCTACAGAATCTTTTAGCCTCTGGAAGTGGCCTTAGAGCCTCTCAAAGTTTGAGGAACACTGCACTAGAGAAACAGTCTTTAAGGTGACACTATGCTGGGGCCAGAGAAAACATTTTAAAGGACAGGTTGTTAAATACATATCTTATTGGACCACAAAAGACTACCAAGTTCTTTATTAAACGTTAAAGCAATTACCAATCTCCCCCTAATACCCACCTAGAGGTGACCCCATGGTGGAGCAGGGAAGGTCCCAGAGACTCTCACAAGCTAAAACACTGTAGCAAACCAGCATTTCTTGAAGTTTCCTCTGTAGTGGAGCAGCACAGGGCCCCTTTGGGCCATGCAAAAAGCACTAGATGCTGGGAATAAAAATGAGTCACTGAATGATGAAATCTAAATCACTTCAAAGACGATGCCAAGACTTTATACTCTATTGACTTTACAGCTTCTGTTTTAAAACTGGTCTCTTTCCCACCATCCTCAACAAAGCCAAGTAGATCTGGCCAGAAATCACAGTCAGTTCTAGACCATTTCACGAACTGACTGTGATTAATCATCTTGAATAGACTGTTGGTCCATAGGGTAAACGAGATGGATATTACCTCGAGTCAAGATTTAAAGAGCTTACCAGAATTTAATAGTTTGTTCTTAGCTGAGATGGCCCTAAAGCAAGGACTGAATACATTTCATCACTATTTGCTCTTAGAAAAAGGAAACATTAGACATTATTATTCCACTCTTTTAAATAAAGGATTAAGTCAAATAATAAGTCTTGGATTTGACTAAACTGCGACTCTTGAACTCTAGCATCTGTAGCAGCACTTGTTCACCAAACCTTCTGTGATGAAACAAGTGTTTTGTATCTGTGCTATCCAGTAAAGTAGCCACTAGCCACATGTAACTACTGAACACTTGAAATGTGACTAGTGTGAGAAATTAAAATTAAAATTTAATTTTTTTATGCTTTTTGTTGAGGAAGATTATCCCTGAGCTAACATCTGTTGCCAATCTTCCTCTTTTTTTTTTCTCCCTAAAGTCCCAGTACATAGTTGTATATCCTAGTTGTAAGTCCTAGTTCTTCTATGTAGGATGCCGCCACAGCATGGCTTGAGGAGTGGTGTGTAGGTCTGCTCCCAGGATCCAAAACAGTGGACCCCAGGCCACTGAAGCGGAGCATGCAAACTTAACCACTATGCCACTGGGCTGGCCCGGAAATTTTACTTAATTTTAATTCATTTAAATTCAAATACCTGCACATGGCTAACGGCTACTTATTCGGCAGTACAGGTTTAGAGGTTTGGTGAGTCATAGGTAATTGCTTGTATTAGCTTGAGTTCTGACCAGAAGCACGAAGAGACTTTGGTTTTAAGAATTATGGAAAATTCAGGGGTACCAAAATAATCAGGATATTAATCACAGTTCTCTATTACACACATCAATTATGATAATCGATCTCTGTTACACAGGCAAGAAACCTCACATCTTCCCTCACTTAGGGAACACTTTATTACTAACTGAATGAAAAGGACTCTGTTTGCTGGAAGCAGTTCACCCACTGTGAGGGCTGACTGACTTGAACCATACCTAGATTAGTATTTTTCTTAAATTTGACTGCTTATGCTATCTCATGCCTAGTCCCTTACTATCAGGTAAATTGCAAAATAAGTTAATTTTTATTGACTCAATAAGAATATCTGAACACCTACTGTAAAGGCCACAATGGTGGCAAACGTCAAGTCTACCAATCTCCAAGCACTCAAAGAACCCCCCAAAACAGGACAGGCAGCAATCAGATCAGAGGTTGGTAAACTTTCTGTAAAGGACCAGATAGTAAAAATATTATGCTTTGTGGGCCATACTGTCCCCGTCACAAATATTCATCTCTGCATTGCAGCATGAAAACAGGCACAGACGATATGTAAATGAATGAGTACAGCTACGTTCCACTAAAATTTTATTTATAAAATCAGGCAGTGGGCTGGATTTGGCTCCCAATCAGTAGTTTGCCAACCCCTGGTATGTATCATTGATTCCCATCTGTTACTTATCATTAGAAACTCCTGAATAATTTTTCTCATTTCTTTAAACAGAGTTCTGGGGCCCCATCTTCGGAGGTTCTCATTGAATAGGCTTTGAGTATGGTCTGAGAATCTCTATTTTCAAAGTCCCTCCAGGTAATTCTGATTAACATCTGTGTCTAGAAACTACTGGTGTAGTTGAAAGAATGTAATACTGGGAGGCAGAAAAGGCTGGTTAAAGTCTTGGTTCTATAACTAACTGTCTTGGACAAATTACTTAATCCTTCCAAGCATCAGTTCACTCATCTGAAAGATGGAGAGAATATCTATCTCACAAGATTGTACCCATGCTAATTCATTCTATAAACATTTATTAAACTTGTTCCAAGTGCAGAAGCACCGTGTTAAATGTTAGGGGAACAAGAGAGACGTGGTTCCTAAATTCATGGAGTTTGCAGTCTAGAGATAAGCAGAGATATTAAATAAATAATAACACAAATAATCTGGTACAATTATGATAAATTTAAGTTAATGAGGTAGTAAAGGTTGCCTTGAGAATGCAGAACAGAGAAATCTAATCTATACTTGGGATCAAGGATTATTGTGAAGATTATCATTATTAACCAACATAAATGTAATGTTTTATAATTTACAGAGTGATTTCAATTATTCATTCACCTGATGTTTGAGTATTGTCTATGTGCCAGGCAGTATTCTAAGTGCTAGGATAAGACAGGAGGTCCCTGCCCTCATGGAATTTACATTCTGGTGCATGATGAGGCACAATGAATACATAGACAAATAAATAAGGTAATAAGTGATAAGTACTTGAGGGAAATAAAATAATGTGATGTGTTAGATAGAGACTGGGAACTATACTAGATGATAAAGTTATGGACAGACGCTCTGCAGAAGAAACATTTCAGCTGAGATCTTACAGATGAGAAAAAGCCAGCCATCTCTAAATTACTGAATAATGCTTATGAAAGTGTTTTATAAACTCTAACACACACCACATGATAGTTATATTCATTACTAGAAAATAAGATCCCTACCCTGAAGGGACTTTACAAACTAGACAGAGGTACTTTTAAAAAATTAAAACTTGGGGCCGTTCTGGGGCTGTCCCATGGCCGAGTGGTTAAATTCACAACTCCCATTTGGCGGCCAGGGGTTCACCAGTTTGGATCCTGGGTATGAACCTAGCACCACTCATCAAGCCATGCTGTGGTGGTGTCCCACACAGAAGAACTAGAATGACCTTCAACTAGGATATACAACTAGGTACTGGGACTTTGGGGAGAAAAGAAAAGGGAAAAAGAGGAAGACTGGCAATAGATGTTAGCTCAGGGACAATCTTCCTCACCAAAACATTAAAAGTCCCCCAACATGTTAAGCACAAGAGATCCATCTAGTTGAATGCATGAATCTCTTTCTCTAATATTCACTCATTCAACAAATATTTATTGTGTATCTACTATATGCTAAGTCTAGTTCAAGGCACTGGGAAATACAGGATAGGACAAAACAGCCAAAGTCTCTGCCCACAAGGAGCTTACATTCTAAGGGGGAAGAAAGATGACAAACAAATAAACAAATAAATATATGTCAGTTGGTCCAGAGGGTAACAGAGACACTAGGTAACAATTATACAATTCCTGGCCCTTGTCAAATAAACAAAAAATAAAGCAAAGTAAGAGGGAAAGTGAGTGCTGAGAGCGTGTGTACTATTTCAGGCAGGATGGTCAAGAAAGGCAGTTGATGAGGGGAGATAAAAGTTGAGACCTGAATGGTCCCTCTGGCCTCTGCCTGAATACTCCCAGAGATGAGAAACTAATTCTTCAGCTGCTGTTCAGCAGTACAAATGGATATTAACCTTAGAGTCTGCCGCCTTCTCACCTCCACCCATTGGTCCCAGACATAACCTATCTAACCTCTCTTTCTAAATATGTCCCAAATACCACAACTGCTCCTCATCTGACACGGTTACGTCAAGCAGCTCCACACATGCTGGCTACTGTTCTGACCACCTTCCTGTACAAGAACTCTACTTCATTCCACCTAAAGTGTGGAACCCAAATTCCTAAGAGCAGTAAAGACAATCACAGTCTTTAGACCAGAAATTCTACTCCAAGATTACGGACTGAAAAGCTAACACTGGTTAAATGTACCATAATTTACATAACTTAACAACAATATTTGTTAAATACTTTTGATGGTCATCTAAGCGTTTTCTAATTTTTGATGAGCATCTTTGTGCACACATCTCTTAAAATTTTTAAGATTATCCCCTTAGGACAAATTCTTCCTAAGAGCGGGATTAATGGATAAAGAGTATGCATATTTTATATTTTGATACAATATAATTCCTACCAATAGTGTATAAGAGTATATTAAAACAGTTTTAGCAAGGATGTAGGAAACAATCTCTACAATTCTGATAAATCTTATCGTGAAAAAACAAAATACTGTTATACTTTTATTTGCAAGTCTTTGATTACTAATAAAGTTGAAGATCTTTTTAGGCTTATCAGTCAGTTTGTACTTTATTTTTGTCATTGTTCACTGAGGTATTCTTTTGTTTTCTCACAGATTCTAAGAGTTCTTTGTAGATTAAGGATACCAGTTCTTTGTCTGTATATATATATATATATATATGACATCTGTCTCAGTCTGATAGGATTTGCCCTTAAATTTCTCAGTCTTTCTTTTATGACTTTTTGGTTTTCATATCATGCTTTCCTCACTTCAATATCGTAAAAATATTAACCCATGTTTTCTTCTAGGATTTCTCAGATTTCATTTTTTTTACACTTCAGTTTTTCAATGTTTGATCTATTTGGAATTTACTTTTTGAGACAAACGAGGCAAAGATGTAGCTTTCCTTTTCACCTTTATTCAATAAATGTGCTTCAACATCATTTATTAAATAAATCATCTTCTCTCCAGTGATATGAGATGTCACCTTGATCAGATATTAATTTCCTACATACACTTGGATCTATTTCTGGATTCTATGTTCTGTTCCTCTCAACAGTCAGTCTATTCCAGCACCAGGAGCACTTTGTTTCATGTAATTTCATAATGAGTTTAAATAGAGCAAGTCCTTTTCATAAGTCACCCTAAACCCCTTGTTTTCTAGGTACTTTCAAAGGATTAGTAAGTTGTGGTATATCCAGCACTAATAAAATCCAGTTATTCTAAAACGTCCAAAGCTAAGTTCATGGGATACACACTCTCAGTTCATTCTCAAAAGACTGTCCATAGGCCTTTTGGATCAATAGCTTATATTTTTTAATGGATCATCTAAAGATAAAACACCAAGTGAAAAAACAAGAATTTCTGACTTTACCTCTCTTTCCAGAATAAATCCATCCATTTCCTTATCTCCTGTAATATCCTGTTCACACATTTATTTTCATACTCTTCACACCATAGCATCATAATTATTTATGTAAGCTCTTTACAAACAGGGGCTATCTTTTATTAATTTTTAAAATCTTCACTTTTAAAGCTCAGTGCCTGAAACTTAATAGAGGCGCCATAAAAGATTAGTTAATGAAGAGTGAGTGGAAGAAAAAGTCAGTCAACGAAAAGTGAGCGAAAGAAAAGACGATGCAGGTAAGTGACAGTCCTGCTCTGTTCTGGACTAGTAAAATCACAGCCGGGATACTAAATTTAGTTCTGGGAGCTGCACTTTGAGAGAGACAGACAAAACCAAAGCCGAAACGGTGACCCAAGTGGTGAAGGGACATAAAACCATGTCACCTGCGGGCCAGCTGAAGGAACAACGAACATTTAGCATGAGTAAGAAAGCAAAGTCTCAGAGCCATTTCTTCGTTTGTCCATCTAACAAATGTTTAGAGCTCTGCCCTGGGTGCGGGAGACACAGCGCTGATCCAAACAGTGTTCTTGCCCTGGCAGAGCTTCAGGCTAGTGAGAGTCAGAGACAACCCGGCCAGTCATCACAAACGGTGGTGAGTGCTATGTTAGAGACGGAGAGCGTGGCAGGAGCACCTAAGGGCTTGTGGAAGGATTCCCAGAGGAAGTAACCTCTAAGCTTCTAAATTAAAGTTTAAAAGGATAAGGAAGAGTCAGCCAAAGAGAAGAAATTCTTTTTTCCATTTCAGACAGAAAGAAAAGCATGTAGAAAGGTCCAGAAGTGAGAAAAAGCAGTTCTAAAAACAGAATCTTTTGGTATGGCTACTGGGCAGAGTTTAAAGAAATAGTAGTTTAGAAAACAGGTTAAAATGAATAGATAAAAGCAGTGTTCCACTATCAGAGAGCCTCACACACCACATTAACGAGAAGGGGAAGCATGAAGGGTTTGGGGGAGGAGTTGTTCTTCTAGGAAAGTAATGGAGAGGCGGTGAGAAGGCAGCCCCTACAGCTGCTTTCTAATAACTAGAGGCAGTGAGTGAAAAACTGGCTAAACCTATTCCATATAGCCCTCAAAGTTAGGACTAATTGAATTTACAAAGAAACAGATTTTTGCCCAATAAATATTTGTCTAAATGTGATGTGAGCTGCCTAACGAGGCTGTAAGTTCTCAACAGCTTTGAGGAATTCCAGATGACATTTTCTAAGAAATTCAAAATGTCAGATTTTGAAATGCTGGGCCAATTTTTATCATTTTAAGTCCTTTTCCAAACTCTGAGATTCTAAAAATCTACTATTTGAATCTATTTCTTTTTTTTTTGGTGAGGAAGATTCGCCCTGAGCTAACATCCACTGGTGATCTTCCTCTTTTTTTTTGTTTGTTTGAGGAAGATTAGCCCTGAGCTAACATCTGTGCCAATCTTCCTCTGTTTTTTATGTGGGATGCCTCCACAGTATGGTTGATGAGTGGAGTACTGCTCCTGGGATCCAAACCCACAAACCCGGGCTGCTGAAGTGGAGCACGTGGATGTTTAACCACTCAGCCATGGGGCCAGCCCCCAAATCTATTTCAATTTGATATTTGGGACTGCTCCCTATGCTTGATGGTAAAATGAAATAAGCAGGATTAACTTATCAGAGGATATGCCTGGCTGTGCTACCTCTACTCTCACAAGGAAAAATATACTTTCAAATTTTAATGTCACTTTATGTACCTTATGTTAAATTGAGTATCCACTTTTCACAATTCCTTGTCAACAAAATAGTTGTCTATAAAATACCTTCAAGTTGTCACTGAACTATAATTGTTATCATTTAGCAACAAAACCAAACACAGCAGCAGCTATCACTGAGTGCCTTCCATTAGCCTGCAACATGCTATACTATGTTCAATATCTCCCATGTTCATTGTAACCTGCAAAGTAGGTTTTATTCCCATTTTAAAGATGAGGAAATAGGCTCAGAAAGATTAATTTTCCTTAAGTCACAAAACTGATAAGTGGGGAACAGGAATTCGAACCAAGGCCTATCTATTTCTGATGTCCATGTTTTTTTTTGTTTTTTGTTTTTTGCTGAGGAAGATTAGCCCTTAGCTAACATCTGTTGACAGTCTTCCTCTTTTTTTTTTTTTTGCTTGAGGAAGTCTAGCTCTGAGCTAACATCTGTGCCAGTCTTCCTCCACTTTATATGTGGGCCACCGCCACAGCATGGCTGATGAGTGGTGTAGGTCCGTGCCCAGGATCTGAACCAGCAAACCTGGGCCACCACAGCAGAGTATACCAAAATTAACCACCACACCATGGGGCCGGCCCCGAGATGTCCATGTTTTTTCTAACACACACCAGTACCTTAGAAAACTTGAGGAAAGTTTTAAAGAATAATAAAAAGTGACTATCATTTATTGTTTATCAAGTGCCAGGCCCTTTACCTGCATTATTTCATTTCATTCATTTCTTCATCTCACATTCATAGAATGCTTCACTTCAAAGAATGTCACAAGATTTGACTTAAAGCCTGAGGATAGTTGCTGAACAGGATGAAATTAATAATCCTCCAAAGTTGAAAAGTATTTGAGAGTTTTTAAGATGTTTTCACATCCATTAGCTCATGTAATCTTCTTAATAACCCTGTTAAGTAGGCAGAACGGGATTATTATCCCCATTTTACAAGTCAGAAAACTAAGGATCAGAATCACAAAGTTACTAAGTGGCGGAGTTAGCTTTCAAAGAACCCAGGAGTTCTGGTTCCTAGCCTAGTGTTCTACTCTTTATGTCACCTTTGAGGTTACTGGAAGAAAAGCCAGGAGGAAGCAAACAGACAATGATAATGATCGAGCTGAACACATGAAACTGCAGTAACAAAATACATAAAAAGTACTCAAAAACTGATAAAAGCATCAGGATACCAATATTCATGTAACACGCAGGAGGATTTTAAAGGACTCGAAGAAGTTAAGACTGATGTTTATGTAGGAACCCCGAAAGCTGATTGAGAAATATTAACATTAGTTTTATTTCTCAAATCCTAGTCCTAAAGTACACTATGCCAGGATGAAAACCAAATGCAATATCAGTCTGACTCATTTGATATATTAATATTTCAGTTAAAAAATTTGGAAAATCTTTGTTTAATTTCAGTTCAATTCATCTTACGCAAAATTTCTTTTGGGAAAATCACACGCACGGAATTCTGAATTACAGATGGTGGCCGTTTGTTTTAGTTCTGGATTTAGTGAATTAAGAAGTTACCTACAGTCTGGTTCAACTCTTATGCTCCTTGTACTCTATGTAATTACCTCCCCCTGCTTTTTTGTCAGCTTGGTCTGTGGCCTCCTGAGAAGGCGGGTTTGACACGACAGCTGAGATCAATTACATGGGCTCATGAGGCAGACAAGAGCACAGGATTCACCAGTTTATGAGACAGACACACGGAATTCTTTTCCTAGTTACAATCTAATCCCTGGCTTAGTAACTCCCCTTATTTAACAGAAACACAAGAAAAATATCTTACCTAGCTCCAGGATGTCAGTAGCTTCTATTAAGGAAAAAAATGTTACAGCATAAATCATCATGATAAACACACCAAAATGACAGAAAGATGAAGCTCTGGGGTTAATGAGGGCTTGAGAGTTTGCCTGGTCCAATGCTCTCCTTTGAAAAGATACCGAGTTTACCAGTAGCAGTTGCGGAAGCACAGCACCCAAGTCTGCCTGACGCCCAAGCCCAAACTCTTAAAGATGATGGAAATCCAGAGAAGCTAAGCAACCGTGCCGAAAGCGATGAAGCTAATTCGGAATTATCTGAAACTCAGAATCTAAGTTTCCTGATTTCCAGCTCAAAACAAAGCATATTGCTTCTGACAGCTACCTCTATAAATGACAATATCTGCTACGGCTTTAACCACTCAGTTCTTTGTACATTCAGACCTCTAAGCATAAAGGTTTTATGGTAAAAGATGGCAAATAAAAGTTTTCCAAGCTAAATAAAGTTGTTTTTCTTACCTTGATATCGAGATGCACACTCTGATAGGTGACCATATTTGTGTTTTCTAACATCATTCCAGTCTATTACTGTGGGCAGAGAGAAAACAGTAACATGGAAAGAAAATACAAGATTCAATACTTCTCCAGTTTAGCAAGATGTATCAGTAGCTTTTGATAAAGCAAACCACTTTTGAAACTCCAGTGTAAGGAAATAATCCCAAACACAGAAACATGTTTCATTTCAAAAGCTTCACTATTGTTTATAATACAAAAAAAGGGGAGCACCTAAATGTTCAAAACAGAAGATGGATTAAGACACTGCAATACATTCACTTGACGAAGTATTCTGCAGCTGTTAACCTTAACAAAGGCTAAACAACAATGGGAAGATGTTTACATTATAACGTTGTCTGATAAAATATGGGATCAAAAATTATATTTATGGAATAACCACAATTATGTAAAAAATGGACAATAAAGAACACTCCTGTTACAGGCTGAATTGTGTCCCCTCCCAAATTCATGGTCAAGTCCTCACTCTGCAGCCCCTCAGAATGCGACTGCGTTTGGAGACAGGGTCTTTAAAGAAGGAAGTAAGTTAACGTGAGGTCATTATGGTGGGCTATAAGCCAATATGAGAGGTCTCCTTACAAGAAGAGGAAATTTGGACACAGATATGAGAAAAGAAGACACGAAGACACAGGGAGAAGTTGGATACCTACAAGCAAAGGAGCCAAGATTCAGAAAAAACCAACCCTGCCAATGACACCTTGATTTCGGACTTCTAGCTTCCAGAACTGCAAGAAAATAAATTCCTGTTGTTTAATCACCCAGTCTGTAGTCTCTATTATGGCAGCCCTAGCAAATGAATACAACCCCAAAAAATTATCACTAGAGAAAAGACGGAAGTAAACACAGCAAATATATAATTGGTTATCTTTGGGTGGTGGCACTGTTTTTTGGTTCCCCTCTCTTTTCTAATCTCACATATTTTCAGATTTCCTATTAAGAGGATATGTTATATACATAATGGAAATACACTTTCCTTGTTTGAAAATTCAGATTCACCACTGAGCCTACCACTTTCTCACCATCACTCACTCCCCATGTTTTCACTTCTCTTCCAAGCAGCTCAGATTCCACGGTCCCTCACTAAAATCGCTGCCTGGCAAACATGCTTAACCCCCTCCCACCTCTTTTTGGTCAAAGTTGCCTAGTAAAGCCTCAGTCCCAACTCTGGTTAAAGCCACTTATCCACCTACACCACACTTACCCCAACAGTTCATGAGGGCTGAAAAAAAACAAATGCAAACTCACTGGGCTCACTTTACATTCATGGCCGTAATTCTGAAATGCCACAACACTGTGTAGAAATCACACACTTCCCTACTATGTTTGCTTTTCCACTTTGGGAAAAGAACAAATTCTGCCCTTTTCTCTCTCCTCATACTCCAAATATTCCCTCTCTCACCTTCTGCTTTAGGACCTCCAATAGCTTCCCACTGAGTGGGAACGGTGCCTTACAAAGCTATGTAAGATGCGGACCCTGCCACTTCTCTGATCTCGTCTGCTATGATCTCCCTTTTCCGCTACACCCCAGTCACATTGGCCATATCCCATCCAAGTGTTTGCCTTCTCTCCTCTTTTGATGTCCCCTGTCCTTCTAGTAACCTGCCTTGTTTGTTTGCCTCTAAATCAATAAAGATTACAAACTTCATCAGGCTTAAAAATTGCTAACAGAGGGCCAGCCCAGTGGCACAACGGTTAAGTGTGCATGTTCCGCTTTGGCGGCCCAGGGTTCGCCAGGGTTGGGATCCCAGGTGTGGACATGGCACCGCTTAGCATGCTTGGTGGGCGTCCCACATATAAAGTAGAGGAAGATGGGTACGGATGTTAGCTCAGGGCCAGTCTTCCTCAGCAAAAAACAAAGGGAGATTGGCAGCAGACGTTAGCTCAGGGCTAATCTTCCTCAAAGAAAAAAATTGCTAACAGAGACAAAAGATATTATGATATCATAAGTGAATTTATGTTTAAAAATTTTCACATTTTATAATTAGAAAAACTATATTCTTAAAAATTAAATAAACAATATATATTCCATTTCTATACAGGTTTTCAGTATTATATCACTTAAGTAAAGACGAGCTACCAGTATGCACAAGACTAATTCAGGAAGCCACCATAAGTAGAAACAAAGCTGCAAGATCATTAATAAAACAATGTTTGAAAGCAACCAGTGCAATTTAGAAAACAAATATGCTAGTAAAGAGAAAAAACAAAAGCCAGACTGAATGGTGAAGCAAAATGAACAAAATGACTAACAAATTTAACTGGGCAGAAGGCATGAAATAAGGTTCAGCTTAAGACAATGAAAAAGGAACTTCCGAGAAGAAACATTTGAAACTCCTGGCACAAACCAGTGGAATCTGGAAATCAGCACCCAAAGAGGAAAAGGAGACAACTACATCACAAAATGCATCACCACAAACTACTCAGGGAATTAGCTAACTGGCCCTGAATCAGTTTCTAAGTGAACAGAATATAGCATCTGATACAATTCCACACATTAAAAAAAGAGCTAGTCACCTAGGAATTTTCAAAGCATTCTAAGAATAATCGTCACGTTTCAGAGTATATTATGATATGCAGCTACTATTTATAAATAACTAGTTTTACGTTATTCCCTTTCCCTAGGCAGTATATTTCTTCTCTGGTAGTCCCAGTAACAAATCAGAAACCTGAAATCCTCCTTAATTGTCTCTTCTCCCTTATCCTCCAAATCCAGTAGGTTATCAAAGTCTGTCAGTTCTACCTCTAAAATGACCATCTCTTCTCTTCCATCTCCTCTGCTCCTATTCTGAGTTCAAGACTTCATTATCTCTCACTTTGACCAAAAAAAACCCAGTTACTTAATTCCTTTCTCATCTCACTCCTTTCAATCCATATTTTAGCATTAATTTTCTAAAACAGATCAGATAAAATTTGTCACTACTCCATTTAAAACTCTTCAAAGATCAAGCCCTAAACTGTATTCAAATATAATAAACACGCCATCCTCTTTCATATCTCTGGACTTTTCCCCCTTCCCTATTTGGGAGATTCCTATTTATTCGTCATGGTCCAGACTAAATGTTACTTTGTAATAGCTTTCTGGTAACATCCCCAAGCAGAATACTGTCTCTTCCTCCTACTTCTGTGCCTGTCGACAGAGTGTCAGAGTGAAATACTCCTAAACCAGTCAGTGGTATTCCTGGGGCTTGGCACACAGCAAGCATGCAAAAAAAAAAAGTTTCTCTTTTTACCAAAGTCAGAAATGGTTATGCAACAAGAGAGAAATTATACATATTAAGAGTCAATATTTAAATTCATGCTTTTATCAAAACAATTTTGACATAGAGATTGATCCTTAGATACAAAATCCACTATGGTTACATATCAATTATCCACGTTAATGAAGAATGACTAAAAACAGATCATCTGAAAGTGTACATAATAGAAAAGTCATTTATATATTGATTTTAGAATATATATTTTTTCCACAACAGATTTACTACTTCAACCATGTTTTATCTAGGCTAACATTAAAAATGAACTTGCTATCACTTAATGGATAGAGTTTCAGTTTGCAAGATGAAAAAAGTTCCGGAGGTGGATGGTGCTGATGGTTGCACAACAGTGTGAATGTACTTAATGTTGCCAAACTGTACACTTAAAAATGGTTAAAATGGTAAACTTCATGTTATATATATTTTATCACAATTTTTAAAATTAATTTTAAACTTTTCTGGGATGTCAGGAGGTCAGAGCTTGTCACACTGATTCCATTTCAGATTCAGCTAACATCTACTGTTACCATACACCAGGCCGGATGCCAGGCATTTTGATACAGATCACCGCAGGTATTATCAGTATCTTTTTACAGGTGAGGAATCTGGGGCTCAGAAAGTTTAACAGTGCCATGGAGAAAGGATCGTCAGGCAACAGCAATGAAAGATATTTAATAATAGTCTACAAAGGGAGTAAATCCACAAATAAAAAATTTAATTGAGTTAATGCCCTGAATCCTGCTTATGTAGATTTATTAATTCAATGAATGTTTATTGTCGGCTGTCTGTCAGGCACTATTCAAGGCACTGGAGATATATCACTGAGCGAAACAGATAAAAACTCCTGCTTTCATGGAGCTTACATTCTATTGGGGTGGTGACCAGGGGTTTCAAGAAATGTGGTCTTTGAATTGGAGGCACTGGAAAAAGCATCCACTGGAGTGTAGCAGATGTCAAAGAGAGACCTTCTGGCAATAAGAACTATCCTGCAGAGGATGGGTTGTTCATCCCCTCAAGTATACAAGCAGAAAGGCTGGAAGACCACTTATCACCAAACATACTCAAACTTTTCCGAGCTGAGAGGGAATTCACAGCTTGGAAAGGGAGTTAACTAGATAAACGTATAAGATCCTACTCAACCTTGGAATTCTATTTCACTAAGCACCAAACAATATTATGAGAGCTGAGATAGCAGTAATGTATCCATAGCTTATGTGTGTGTGAGTGTTCGAGCACATGTGGATAGCCTCACGATGAACTAGTTATCAGTATGGATTATGCCTTATTCTCCCATCTTTTATGTCTAGTTCAGTTAAACAAATGAACGGATGTAATGTCACAGGTTTAAAGAGCAGTAGGTTGCTTCCTATTAAATCTTGTTCAGTTTGACAGACTCCATTTCCAACTCCCTATTTTCAAAAAGACCTCTAAAGTCTTTGCGATGTCCAGACTGAAATTATACTCATTCACTCTTTAAACAAAAATTCATTGACTACGCATAGGTTCCAGTGTATGTGTGCTAGGTGATGGGGGATTAAAAAAATAACAAGGCACTCGCCCTGCACTCTAGGAGAGGGAGAAAGATACAAATTAAGTGTGATAAAGTATTAAAGGGGCTGCATTAAAAGTATGCAAGGGGGCTCAGAAGGGAGAGGCGAGGGAAGGAGCCGGCTCTCCCTGGGGAGGGGAGGGAAGAGAAATTAAGACTTTATGGAAAAGACGACACTCAAATTGAGTCTTGGGGACTGGGGACGGGGTAATAAAAGTACACCATGGAGAGAGAATAATGTAAAGAAATGATGCCCTGAAGCACTATGCTAGACCTGCTCTGTCCAATACGGTGGCCACTAACCACACTGAGCACTTGAAATGCGGCTCGTGTGACTAAGGAAGCGAACATTTAATTCTGCTTTAATTTTTATTAATTTAATTTTAAAAACTGACATTCAGTGCAGTTATTGGGAAAACCTTACGTATGTCTGGAACAAAACTAGGTATGAGAATCCACTATTTCAGTTGTAAACATTTTAAAATCTAAATACAGATCAACGTATTGCTGATAAAACTTAGTGTCTGAATTGAGATGTGCTGTAACTATGAAACATGCATTAGATTCTGAAGACTAAGTATGAAAAAAAGAATGTAAACTAGCTTATTACATTATTTTTATATTGGTTACATGTCAAAATAATATTTTAGATATACTAGATTAAATAAAACATATTATTGAAAAAGGTAAAAAGAAACAAATTAATTTTAATGTGGATACTGGAAAATTTAAAATCATATATGTGACTTGAACTGTATTTCTATTGGACAGTGCCATATTGGACAACCGTAGTTCAATGTGGCTAAAGCAGAAGGCATGTAGAGAGTATGACGAGAGAAGTAAAGTGTGGTCAATGTGAGTGCTATATATTCTACCACATGGGGAGCACAGATCTACAGTAAGAAAGGAGCCAATGGGCAGAGCAGCAGAGGTGAGGGCTGGAGCAGAGGACACACTAACGGCCTAGGGAGCTTGGTTCCCGAAGCCCATGTGCATCCACACTTTCCAGGAGGCTCGGCTGTTCAACCTCCCCAGTGATTAAAAGAACCATAACCATTTCAGATGTACAGACAGGAGGAAAGGCTTTAAAGAAAGCACGATTTTAGTGTCAAATGGAAGAGCAAGCTGGACTTAATCTCACATGAGACAAACCATCCTGCCTCAGTAAGTCTTAAGCAAGGGATAAAAAAGGGATGACACAATAATCTAGAAATCTATGATTAAACATAAAGAGACTTTATCTTTAAAGATCTGTGATAAGGTTCTTAGTTTCCACAAAACTCAAAATTTTATTTAGAATCTAAACTCTGAAATTTATATTTTTCTATTTAACTAAACTAACAGTATTAAGAATATCACTATAAAAATGGTAAGAATTCATACCTTCCAGAAATGGCTATAAGTTTATAATGATATTTAAGTAAGATAATTTAATACAAAGTGTCTAGCATGGTGGCTAAGACAGAGAACAAATTCAATAGATAATAGGTTTTTCTTTCTTTCTTAATAATAATCTCTAGTGTGGTTGAACCGTTACAGAAATATTTTGAAGTATTTAAAAAGCAAAACTTCCAACCTCCTCTCACGACCCGCAAAATTCATGCTAATGACAAAAATGACATCATGGCTAAAAGAAAAGGATAATGAATGATCTAACTAGTAATGAGGAATTCCTTAACTTCAGTCATTGCTAAGTCTGATAATCCCTCCGACCTCCAGGATACGGTAAAGAGGTACTTACCACTAGGCTGCATAGTCAACGAACTAAAAACTGGCCAAGGAGTTAAGAGGTCTGGGATTTATCCCTGGATCCACCAATACCTTGCTCTGACCTCTGACAAGTCAGTTTCTCTGTACATTAACTTCTCCATCTGTAAAATGGGGGTGGGGAGGAAGGGGGACACTTATTACCCTATAAAGTACTGAGACTTTTAACTATTAACACATTAGGCTATATTATAAGAAAAGTAGGACAGTTAGATACAATAGTTTTTTTTTTTTTGCTTATTAGAATATCTCAGGGCTGGACAGTACCTTACAGCAAATACCACAGGTATAATTTAAGCCTCAATATCCACAGAAATAAAGAAACAGATATTTGCTACATTTGATCCTATGCAAATTCTGAATATAAATATAGTTTCCAACTAACCAGGTTAAGTCAGAAAATTAAAAGATAGTGAAAAACCATTAACATGTGATTGGTGTTCTGCCAAAATTCATATGTTGAAGTCCTAATCTCCAACATGACTGTATTTGGAGACAGGACTTTTTTTTTTTGCTGAGGCAGATTTGCCCTGAGCTAACATCCACTGCCAACCTTCCTCTTTTTGTGTATGAGCTGCTGCCACAGCAAGGCCACTGATAGACAAGTGGTGTAGGTCCATGCCCGGGAACTGAACCTGGGCCTCCAAAGCGGAACACACCACACTTAACCACCAGGTCACTGGGGCTGGCCCAAGACAGGACTTTTAAGGAAGTAACTAAGGTTAAATGAAGTCATAAAGGTGGGGCTCTAATCTGACAGGACCAATGTCCTTATAAGAAGAGGAAGAGACATCAGAGATCTCTCTCTCTCTCACTCCACAAATATATACAGAGAAAAAGGCCAGGTGAGGACACAGTGAGAAGGTGCTGTCTGAAAGCCAAGGAGACAGGCATCACCTGAAACTAGTCCTGTTAGCATCTTGACCTTGGACTTCCAGCCTCAGTAGTGTGAGGAATATACGTCAGCTGTTTAAGCCACCCAGCCCGTGTTGCTGTGTTACGGCAGCCCGAGTCCGAGCAGACTAACACCCATGGCCATAGGACAATGAGGCTGCAGCAACTCTCTGAGAGCACCTCATGCGACACTAAACAGTTTCCAAGCTGCCCTAAAGAACTTTCACTCTTTTACCAAAGTCCGATTGGTGGTAAAACAGAGCAAAATGAAAATAAAAACAAAACAAAAAATATTGAATTGGAAGTTAAAATTTAACTTAAAAACTATTTCCTCTTGAAGACTTCATGCAAGTAACCTAACTGCACTGAGCCTGTCTTCTCATCAGTAAAAAGGGAATGATAATCCCAATCCACTTCTTCACTAGGCTGTGGTGAAGAACAAAGGGAAAATGGCTTTGAAAGTACATAACACAGATAATAGGAATTACTAAGGAAAAACTTGCTGTTTACTACCTTTTCTCAGAGGGAAAACTCAGATCATGAATAAAACAATGTACTTACAAAAAGGAAATTAGAACCTCCTGTTACTAGTTAGCCCCCAAGGATTCTAATATTCACAAGTGAAGTAACTACTCTCTGGACTATCTGCCAGAATTCCTTCTACTTTGCCTCTTTTCCCTTTGGCTTCTTCTTACTGTTGACTGGGACCTTTAAAAATTACGGTAATGCACAAAGAATGAAATCCTGCCATTTTCGACAACATCAATGGATCTTAAAGTGTATTATGCTAAGCTAAATCAGACAAAGAAAGAAGAATACCATATGACTTCCCTTATATGTGGAATCTAAAAAAATAAAAGAAGAGAACAAACAAAACGAAACGGAAACAGACTCACAGATACAGAGAACAAATTAGTGGCTGCCAGAGGGAGGGGGATGGGAGGAAGGACGAAACAGGCGAAGAGGATTAAGAGGCACAAACTTCCAGCTATAACATAAATACATCATGGAGATGCAATAGGTAGCATAGGGAATATAATCGACAATACTGTAATAACTTTGTATGATGACAGACGGTTACTAGTCTTATCAGGGTGATCATTTCATAACGTATACAAATACCAAATCACTACATTGTACACTTGAAACTAATATAATATTGTATGTCAAGTATACGTCAATTAAAAAAATAAATCATACAAAAGAATTATGGTAATTCAATCTTCCTGGGGGAAATGAAAGTGCCTGTATATATTCTAAGAGACAGTAATGACTCCAGGGGGCTGCGCTAAGAAGAGCAACCTGAATCTTCACGATGGATGTCCAGGGCCCTGAAACACTACGAGAGAAGTCTTCAGAACATCCTAGAAAACATACCCTCCTTGATTTCTGAGAAAGGAGCACAAGGGCACAGACTACGAATATCTAAAGCAGTGCCGTCCCATAGAACTTTCCGCAATGATGGAAATGTCCAATATCTGCATCGTCTAATGGGCAGACACCAGCCACATGTGCCACGTGTGATGTGGCTAGTGTGTTTGAAGAGTTGCATTTTTAATTCTATTTAATATTTATTAAAATTAAATAGACACTTATCCAGTGGCTACTGCACTGGATAGTGCAAATCTAGAGAATGCAAAGATTCTGGTATTTCTGGAAACCCTTCAGAGAAAGATAATATGTAGCAGAAAAATCTACAAGGCTATGGAAGCATCCTTTCAAAATGCGACAATACAATCACAATAGGTCATCCCTTCAAGCAAGGAAAAGTAGAAAAAATTCTTCATACATTATGATATTAAGAAAAAATCCAGTTGTAAATTATCACTTATACATTAACAATAGTAATAATAATCATTAACATTATATAGCTACTATTTCTGAGTGTTCACTGGATGCCAGATATCGTGGTAAGGAAGTAGTTCCATAACACCATCTTGAGTCCTCACCAGTATGATCTCACTTAATATGGTCTCATTACCTCATTTTAGTAATGAGGAAATGATACTCAGAGAGGTCGAATAACTTTCTAAAAGGTTACAGTCAGTAGAAAAGGCAAGATTTGAATGCAAACTATACTATTAACCACATTGTCTCTCTCATCAAAAAAGAAAACAAAAAACCAAGTTCATGAAAAAGAAAGCTTACAAATGCTTATGTAACCACAGGCCCTCCAGGACCAGTTCAACTGACCTCATCTTACTGACAGAGTAATTAAGAGTGGTTTTTCAGGAACTGAGACCCCTTATCCAGTTCAGGCCAGCTGAGACCACCGACCCAACAACTGGGCCTGCACAAACACTCAATAAGTGACCTTTTTTCTTTTTGCTGAGGAAAACTCGCCCTGAGCTAACACCTATGCCAATCTATTTCTATTTGGTATGTGAGTTGCTGCCATAACATGGCCGTCGACAAGTGGTGTAGGTCTGCACCCAAGAACCGAACCAGGGCCACTGACATAGAGCATCCAAACTTAACCGGTAGGCCACAGGGTCGGCCTGATAAGCGACCTTTTTGATGTCAAGAAGCTAAGAACTCCACCCTCAGATCATGGTAATGCTGCCATTTTATCAACATGCATCCTGTGAAGAGGCATGAAGCTTGTCTACGCTTGTGCAAATCATCACTTACCTCACTATTCCTTACCTCTAATCATCTATGCCCACGCTTCAGACCACCTTGTCCCCTACCCTATAGATACTGCTGAGCCCCATTTCCAGGGAGGCGGACCTGCGATGGATTCTCCTGCCTTCTTGCTTGGCTGTCTTGAGATTAAAACCCTCTCTCTGCTGCGATCTTAGCGTCCTGGTGATTGGCTTTTGGGCAACAGACAAAAACAAACCTGGTTCAGTAACTTCTAACACAAAAAAGTGCAGCTTGGGAAGAACTACAACCAGTGTGACTGTGGATACTTTACTCCTTTTACTACAGGAAAAACTGAAGCACTCATGCTTATTAGCTTCATCTGGACACTGAGTAAGATTAGGTCTGGTCTGGGATTTCAGGAGGTAAAACTGGATTAAATGGAGCTGTCCATAGGCACCACGTTTTACATATTCATAGAGCTTGGAAAAAGCAAAAGCAGTGATGCAGGCTGACACGCAGAGACCAGGAGAGAGGGCAGGGGGGCAGCAAAGAAGGGATCAGGGAAGGAGGGCTGTTTCCCTCAGAATGGAAACTGGAAAACAGAAAACAGAAACATCAAGTGTACTTCTGAAAACCCATTAAGACAGAACTCTATGTGAAATAGCACGTGTGGTTTTAATAAACCATAATCCTATGCCAGTATGCACAGAGATCAAAATGGAAAAGCTGGGAGCAGAACTCCTGCCCCACTGTGGTCATAGAGGATGGGCTACAGGGGAGGCAGGAGACAGACAGGGGCCGGGTGTGGTATGCGCCACTGATCAGCCACTCTCTCTTACCAGCAAGCATTCCTAGTGCCTCTCAGCTGATCCTCTGCTCCCAGCTCTCCTTCACTTACTTTACTCCATTCAGACATAAGTGTGATGAGATGGTAACAGCCCTCTGGGATGATCCTCCAGAAGAGGGGGGAGGGGAAACAAGCTAGGCAATCACTTTCTCAGAGAGCAGTAAACCCTGCCTTGTGCAAGCAGCAGATGTGAACAAAGACGGAGCAGATCTCTCCTTGGTGATCATCCCTCCCCCACTCCCTCTCTAGCAATCAGACATGTCTGTGCGCGCACACAGAAAGAACCCCAGAGAACATCAGTATTTCCTTTAACAAGCAAAGCAGCTAGCAGTGAATAGCTAATGAAAAGGCAGAGAGGCCGTAACTCCCTTTGTCTTAACAGGCCATCCTAGTAGACTTCATGTTCACCCTTTCGGAGGCTCAAGAGGCATGATCTAGAGCACAGAAGCTAATGCTTTTTAGATGGCTTCTGGCTCATGCTTCTTGAACAGGGAAGGAGTTTAGTGGCACCAGTGGTGTCACATCATATTTCCTGGCAGACAGATGGATCTGACGTTCCAGCCAGTATCCAGAAGGAAGGAGACGACGGCACTGGATGATCGGCTCCACCGGTCAGCCCTTCTGAAGGCGGGGTACCCCAAGGGGAAGGAGTGCAACTAGTGAGTGGAAGTTACAGGTAGACAGGGCTTCAGCTCATTATAGGAAGAACTTTCTGACAGTCAGAGGTATCCAACAGTGGGATGAACTCTGGGGAGGGAAGGTATGAATCTGCCATCACTGAGGATGTGGAAGCAGAGGTAAGACAACCTCTTGGCAGAGATATGAAATCATGAGGAGGAAGAGGAAGGCTGAACTAGGTAACCTTTAAAGGCCCTTCCAAACCTGAGAGCCTATAATCTAAGGGGGGTATGCAACTCTGGTTTCGTCAGTATAACACTGTGCAACTTTAGGTTTGCAGCATGACCACATGGACGCATCTATAATACCAAATTTCTCTCTGAAGGCTTACAGAAGTGTGAGACGGGGGCAGAAGAAATAACATCATCATCATCCTTCCCTTCTGCTTCTTCATCTACTATTTACTGACTGCACTGTGGTAGGCACTTTACGTACCTTCTCTCTAATCTTTGAGACTCCAGTTACAGCTAGGCTACTGGGAGACTCTGAGCCAGTAACATAGCATCTTTGGTTTTTAACTTTCCTCATTTGTAAAATAAAGCGGGTAACTTCATTCATGATCTGCAAGGTCCCTTTTAAGTTCTACCATATTGTGAGTCTGTGGGGCAGGAGCAATAAGGGCTCATCCTAATTATTTCCTCCATATCACTACAACTCAACCTGACGGATACTCTGAAATATCTTCCTTCTTTGAAATAATGCATGCGCCATCTTTATTTTACACAATAATACCATCCTGAAAGGTTAAGTGCAAATGAAATTTTTAATAAAAAGTATATTTTGAGCACACAGAGATGGCTAATTAGTCAAAAGAAACCTTTATAAAAATAAGTCCAATGTTTGCTGCAAAGTAACTGATTCTGTAAGTTATAACATGTACTTATAGCATGTAAGATGTATCCTTACATCTGTATGGATAACACGTCTTACTGTATAATGCGATTTGCCTCCTCCTCCCTCCCATCCTCCTAATCCACAGTATATCACTCTAATGGGACAGAATCCGACAGTACTATTCTATGGTCTGCTCGTTTTCTCTTTACCACAATGGGATAACGCTTCCTAATTACTCAGACTACTTACCTTACTCCAAGCTTAAGGGTATTTTTACCAAATATCCCCAGATTTCCCTCCTCTATTATGAAGACTTTGCAGTCAGACTGCCTGGGTTCAGACTTGATTCTATCACTTACTAGTTGTATAACCTTGGCCAAGTAACTTGACCGCATATGCCTTGGTTTTCCCATGTGTAAAATAAAGACAATTACAGCAATTCCCTCATAAAGTTGCTGGGAGGATTAAACAGGATACGTATAAAGCACTTAGAACAGCAGCCAGCACCCAGCAGACACTCGGTCACTATTAATTTGTACTGCTGCTTCCTTCTCCTTCTCCATCATCGTCATCACGCTCTGCTCATATCTAGGACACTATCTTACTAGACGCCCAGTGTTTACTTGAAAGTTTCTTTCCATTAGATTTCTGTGTTTCCTCTTTCCCAATCCAAAGCACTCTTGCCATGTCATCTCTTCAACACAGCTCTCTGACAAACTGGATGAAACTTCCTCTCTTAGCATAGCTACTACTATGGCCTGTCTTCACTGCGAGATGATGCACACTCACGCTTCACCAATTCACATTCCTCTTCTTTTCATATTTCCATTCAAAAGTCATCTCCCAGAGCAGAGACTGTTTTGTGTAGGGCCAAACAGTAAATATTTTCAGTTTTATGGGACATACAGTTTCTGTTGTAACTCTCCCTTTGTAGCATGAAAGCAGCCATAGATACATTAGCAATTAACACGGCTACGTTCCAATAAACCTTTACAAAAACAGGCAGCAGACAAGATTAGGCCTATGGGCCAAAGTTTGCCAATGCCTGATCTAGAGGAATCTTTCCCCAAATAACTCTGCCTGGCTGTGAACATCCCACAATTCTACTTCAAGCATGTACTATAATCATTTACACATATTTGTAAGCGTCTAAGTATTTTTATGTGGTCAGTCTCTCATCTAGATTAGTGTACTGATCCTTTAAGGAAAGCTGCTCTTTTATTCTTTAAACAAAATGTATCTAAGCCCAGTAGTAATGTGGGGTGTTAAGGACACAAAGACAAATTAAGTCCCAGCCTATGCTCACAAAGAACTCACAGATTAGTAGGATAGATAGCAATTCAAATATACAATCATAATATAATGTGGTTTTTGCTCTAATAGAGATTTGCTATACAAAATGTTCCGAAAGGAATGATCAACTCTTCTTGGGGAGTTGAGGAAAGCTTCACAGATGAGATGAAGTTGAGCTAGGATCGTAAGAAGAAAGATGAATAGGCACTTTAGGCAAAGGGAATAGAGTACAAAGGTACGGACAGAGTGCTTCGACAACAGCCAGCAGTTTCTTACGGATGGAAAGGGGTAGGGTAAGCTAGAGACGAATGACAGGAACTGAGTGAGATGAGAACAGACAAGTAGGTAGGCAGCAACTTAGGGAGGGCCTAGTTTGCCATACTAAGACAATGGTACATTACATACTGAGGTGTTTGGTGTCATCCTGAAGATTATGTTAGAAATTCAATATCAAGATCTGATTTATTAATGATATTTTATATCCTTTATAAAGAGGCTTTAACTTTTTTTTTCAGACTTTACATACATTATTTCCAATGTTCATATAGCTTCCATACTTACATGTCTATTAAATTCTGATACTGATTATGAACTATGTAGTGAGAAGGGTAAGATTTAGAGGCAAAAGGTCTAGGACTAAATCTTGCAGTTCATAGTGACAAGATTTTGAATAAGTCTCTTAACCTCTCATTGTTTCCACAAAACAGGAATAGCAACAGCATCTACTTAATAAGACTACTGGAAAGACTATATGAGATAATTATGTGAAGAATACTCTGCAAACTATAAAGAGCTGTATAAGTGACATGCGGGATTTGTTAAAATTTCAGGATAAGTTGGCAAAAAGGATGAGATACTTCTAATCACTTTAATCACTTTTTGTGACCCATACATTCATACACAGCCTAACACAGGATAACCCTCTAATTTCTATTACATACAAATACAAGTTCTGACCTTTTCGAGGATCTGATTTTTGCATGGTACCATCAGCTATGCCAAAAAGGGAATTGTTCCTCCTTAGCAAGATGGAGAAATCTAGAAGCAAAAGACAGAATAAATTAGAAATGTGAACTACTGAAGATCAAAGAAGACATGCAGTGAAATTAGGTTTTTATCAGAGGAAACCAGCAGTCTGAACATCCAACAGGACTTCCCAAGGGCAGCAACTTGCTTAGGTTTCCAATTTCCAGGATCCTTCCCTCAGCTTTGTAGGTTCAGAACCCTGATTCTGTTAAAAATACAGTAGACTTTTTGTGTGTGTGTGAGGAAGATTGGCCCTGAGCTAACATCTGTTGCCAGTCTTCCTCTTTTTGCTTGAAGGAGTCGCTGAGCTAACATCTGTGCCAGTCTTCTTCTATTTTATGTGGGATGCTGCCACAGGGTGGCTTGACGAGCAGTGCTAGGTCTGCGCCCAGGATCCGAGCCTGAAAACCCCAGGTCACTGAAGCAGAGCGCGCAATCTTAACCACTATGCCACTGGGATGGCCCCCCAAAATAGAACAGACTTTTTGAAGGCAGATCTGTAAGTCACTAAACAGTGATGGATAAACTAGAACATTAATTAATTTACTGTGAGAAATGTAACAGCCACATAACTAAAATATCATACACTGAAAACTACAAAACATTGCTGAAAGAAATGAAAGACATAAATAAATGGAAAGACATCCTGTGTTCGTGAATTGGAAGACCAATACTGTTAAGATGACAGTACTACCCAGAGTGATCTAGAGACTCAATGCAATCCCTATCAAAACACCAAGGACATTTTCTTGCAGAAACACAAAAGGCCATCCTAAAATTCACTCCAAATAGCTTAAACAATCTTAAAAATAACGAACAAAGTTAGAAGACTCATACTTCCTGATTTCAAACTTACTACAAAGCTACAGTAATCAAAACTGTGTGGTACTGGCATGAGGACAAAATGAAAGAGAACAGATGCCTAGAAATAAACCCTAAAATATACGGCCAAATGTTCTTCGACAAAGGTGCCAAGACCATTCATTGGGAAAAGGATACTCTTTTCAACAAATGATGCTGGAAAACCTGAACACCCATATGCAAAAGAATGAAGTTGAACCTTCACCTTACACTGTATACAAAAATTAACTCAAAATGCATCAAAGACCTAAACATAAGAACTAAAATTACAAAACTCCAAAACACAGAGGAAAATCTTCATGACACTGGATTTAGCAATGATTCTTGGATACGACATCTAAAGCACAGGCAACAAAAAAGAACCCCAGATACACTGGATTTCACCAAAATGAAAAAAATGTGTGCATCAAAGGGCACTATCACTAGAGTGAAAAGACAACCTACAGAACGGTAGAAAATACTGGCAAATCGTATACCTGATAAGGGATTAATATCTAGAATATATAAAGAATTCGTACAATTCAACAACAAAAAACCCTCAAACAACCCAATTCAAAAGTGGGCAAGGGACATGAATATACATTTCTCCACTTACCTATACAGAGGGCCAATAAGCATATGAAAAGATATCATCATTAATCATTAGGGAAATGCAAATCAAAGTCACAATGAGATACCACTTCACAACCATTAGGATGGCTATTGTGGGGGGAAAAAAACCCTAAAACAAAAAATAAGTGCTGATGAGGATATGGAGAAATCAGAACCCTTATGAATTGCTAGTGGGAATGAAAAATGGTGCAGCTGCTGTGGAAAACCTCAAAAACGGAAACAAAGAATTACCATAGGATCCAGCAACTCCACTCCTAGGTATATACCCAAAAGAACTGAAAGCAGGGACTGAAACAGATACTTGTACACTAACGTTCACAGCAGCATTATTCACAACAGCCAAAGGGTAGAAAGAGTCCAAGCGTCCATCAATGAATGAATGCATAAACAAATGTGGTATACACGCATAATGGAATATTATTCAGCCATAAAAAGGAATAAAATTCTGATACTTGCTACAACACGGATGAATCTTGAACACATTATGCTAAGTGACATAAGCCAAACACAAAATGACAAATATTGGATGATTCCATTTATACTTGGTAATAGAATAGGCAAATTCATAGAGATGGAAAGTAGAACAGAGGTTACCAAGGACTGGGCAGAGTGGAGAACAAAGAGTTATTTAATGGGTACAAAGTTTCTGTTTGGAATGATGAAAAAGTTCTGGAGATGGACAGTGATGAAGGCTATACAACACTGTAAATGTACGTAATGCCCTAAAATGGTTAAAATGGTAAATTTTACGTTATGTATACTTTACAATAAAAAAAAGAAACAGGTAAAAAGGCAGATCTGCACCAGGGTTTGACAGTCTCATTCAACCGTCTCACAACAGGAACACAAAAAGCTTCACAGGAACTTTCAAGAAATTAAGTCCTGAGTCATAGCATTCCCTTTCTTGGGTAACCCCAGATGTAACCTGCTATCTATTTTCTTTATGACCTCTCATTTAGCATGTTTCCAAGCTGAGGATCTTCTGATAAACACATCCTTTCTTTGCATGTTACTATCTATAGTGTGGTACAGACAGGCTTTGGATTTGAGAATCAACTCAGTTACTAGCTATGTAAACTTGGACAAGTTACTAAATGTCTCTGGGACTCAATTTCTCCATCTTTAAAGTGGAAATAATAGTGTCTACTCTAGAGGATCTGTGAGGGTTGAATGGCATTATCTATTTTAACGAATTAACATACATAAGTGTCTGATAGATAGGTGGTGCTTCTCTGCCTCCCTAACTTTGTGTCATATTACCAATCACAGTTCTCTGTCTGCTGGCTCCGTTGGCATCCATGTGATCATCACCACAGCTCTCTGTGGTTGAGAGGGCCTTGCTACTGTCTCCATCAGAAACCTTCTCTCAAAGGCCAACATCCAAAAGACCAAAAGCACATGCAGACAAATCCATTTTCTGCCCATCTCACAAAACTCTCCTTACAGGATTCCATCCTCCCTGAGGGCAGAGACTGTCACAGGCTTATTTTATATCCCACACGTTGCCTACTAGAAAAAGTAACTTTCTCAAGTTTTAAATTGAACTTTCAACAATTCTAAGTTCTTCATAACAGGATCTTACATAAATTTCCAAGTATACAAGTTCTATTTCTATACTCGTAGTACCAAACAATGAGATAAAAACAGTAAGTATGGTTCTCTTTCAGTGATAGGAACACAAGCAAAATATATAAGGTGTTACTAGGTGTGACAAGTGACCATTTCAAAGCCTGCTACATTATAAGTGGCTTATATTAAAAGTGCCAGAAATAACAGAATGAGTCCAATATTCCACCATGAAAAAAATTCAATAATGAAGTTGATCTGATGTTAGAAAAAATATATTACACAAATCAGAAAAATCTCTATCTAATCTCCGCTTAAAAAGTAAAACATCAAGTCACGTAATGATCAGAGAACAGCATCAAATCAAAATTCATATAACTGATTAACTCCTAGATCACAGTGGTCAGACATTCAATTTGACCTTGTCTGACCTAAATTCCTTCAACAACACCAATTAGGATTACCGTAAGTAGATATTTATTAAACACGCCTAAGTGAAAAACTGGAATCAAGAGACAGAGAACGACAGAACAAAGAAACTGAAAAGTCACAAGGAAAAGAGGCTAGCATCATTTTGTTAAAGGGACTTTCACATGGTTAATTTACAGAACCATCATAGGAGGAGGAACTATACGCTAGGTTCTGTGCTAAGCACTTTAAAAACGACTTTTTTGTTAAAGCATAATATACAAACTGAAAAGCACACAAATCCTAAGTATGAAGCTCAGTGAGCTTTTACAATGTGTCTACAAACCAAGAAAAGAGATCACTGCCAGCACCCAACGTACTCTCTTATGTCCTCTCCCAGTCATTACTCCACCCAAGCGTAAACACTGTCTTGACTTCTATCATGGTAGATTACTTGCGCCTGTTTTGAACTTTATATAAATAAAATTATGTCAAACGTACTCTTTTACGTTCACTTCCTTCCACCCAACATTTTGTTTGTGAGACTCATTCATGGCGTCCCTACCAGGCACTTTTATCTTCACTACTTGATTTAAAGCACTCAACAATTATGGCATTTCCCATTTAGGTTAAAAAAAAAAAAAAAAAGCTGCGGTTCTGAAGTTAAACAAGATTAATTAAGGCATTCAAGGTCACACAGTTACTAAGTGGAAAGGCTAAAATTTTAAAGTTTTGTCTAACTTCAAAGTCCATCTCTTTTTGGTTCCATTATGATTGCTTACTACAGTTTAAAAACAACACGAAGTCAATCCCTTCCCTAGTTTACTTATCACAGGCCATATACAGGATATGGCAAACAGTCAAGTACTATGCAAATGTAAGAAATTATTATTAGCACAAAAAGGAGCTACAAGGGCAGTCGCTTTCAAATCTCTTTTGATTGTGACCCACAGACTTAAACCAGCGCATTTTTACAACCACATGCATTCCCAAAAACCTTACATTCTGTAAAAATTATGTAGTCAAAATAGGCTCGTCCCTGGGAAAAACAGAGTTAGGAATAGGCTACCAAAAGCCCATGGAACTTTATATCCTTTACACCCACACCTCCACAAGGATCTCAGTCATTAAGAAAAGGTTAAATTAGGCTCAACAAACTGAATTAAAAAGAAGGAAGAAGGGTATGATCCATTTCAGAATAATTTCCAATTAAAATGATTTTTAAAAACAAAGTTTTAATGTGTAAAGGAACAAATGTGTAGCTATCCAGAACATTAAGCTTCTAAGAGTGACTTGTTTCCCCAAGCTTTCCTGGAGTGAACATTTGAAGGCATGTCACCATCTGCAGACAGGAGCCACTTAACAAAACATTTTCATGGCAACAAAATTAAAACCTGAGGTCAGAGGCATATGGCTTTGGGGGCCAATAAGAGACTATTAACCCATTTGCCATCTTTTATCTGTTCACACTTCCCAAGCAGACCTTTGAAGGATGCCTATGCTACAAGGTACCAGAGATCTCAAGATCAACTTTATTTTATTAGCGTCTAATAGGACACAGCTCC